TTTTTTTTTTTTTTTAAATAGTAAGAACTAGATTTTTAATTTCCGGTGTTAGTACCCATCATTAGTTTATAATTTTTAAACACAATGCTACATTTTATCTTCATTATTACACGCACATAAAATCTGATGATAATTTATCCAACCAGATTTTGTCAAAGAAGTATCTTTGAAATCTCCATAAATAATACTGCACATTAATGTTTCTCATAATTTATATTACTGATATTTTCTTATGATGATTCTTCTGATTTCTTCTAACGATTTCTTTCATATGCGTAGCTTAAGCAAGCGGTATTAATGGACAATCATATCTATTGCGAAGCAAGACTGCCTTTAAAACTGTTTCTGATGCTTTTATGCACTGCTTCCGTTTTTTTTTTTAGGACTGCCTTGGTACTCGAAAACTTCATGTAAACATCTACATTATTGCAAATATGCAAAATTAATCATCCTGAATAATGGGACTTTAGCATTAACCTCTGCTGACTCTGAAAAACCTACGCACTCCTCTGCACTTTTGTAAAAGATTTCTAGGATTTGACATACTATTTTACTAGATATTGCAATGCATGACATGTTTGTTTTATATCATATTCTAAATTAGCCATGCAAAAATAAAAAATTGACAGGAAATATCAACAAGGAATTTTCTTTGATTTCCAGTTTTTAAATGATGGATAATAATTCTATCTTTCGCCTCACGTAATTAATCTTCTTTAGAGAAATATATAGCGAAGAACTCATTAAAACGGCTTTTTGTTCAACAAATATACTTTGACTTCCAAAAGCAACAAATATGCTTTCATTTACAAAAGCAACAAATATATTCTGACTTCTTAAATTAAATTTATTTCCCTCTTATGTATTAATCTGAATCCTTTAAATCTATATTCAAATATTCATTAAAATTTGTACATAATGGAGCCGGTTAACGAGAAGACTTTTCAATAAAAGATATCTCTCTACAATTACGTACCTGGATGCTTGAGATAATTGAATCTATGGCTGCAAAAATGTATTTCTTTAAAGAAAACATTGTATAAATGATGGACCCAACAGCAAATGAATCAAACAATTCTCTCCAGTGCTTCCATTTGTGAGCTGCTAAAGCTGAAAAGAATAAAATTATTTGCATACAGAAAGTACATAGTTGCATTATTCTTCTCAAAAGTTTCGGAAAATAATTGCTAATATAATACCTTTTTATTTCAAACTTACTTTTCAGCTCTTGATTTTTTAAAACTCTTTTGCGACGTAAAAGTTTTTGCATGGATCAAACTAATAATATCTTTAAAATTTTGCATTAGGTTTTTGCTCCTTTAATTTGCTTTGTTTTGGGCCTTATTAATTCTATTTAAAAATTATAACAATATTTTTATTTTAAAGTATCACCTTATAGTGCATACTTCTCCGAATATAAGGACTAAACTTCCTGTATTTCTAAAAACACTTTATGCTTTTAAATGTGTCTTAAAAATGTTCGTTGTTTTCCTTTTGCGTATTTATGTGTCTTTCAAATACTTAATATTCTTACATGTTGATATTAAATATTTTTATATAAAAATGATAATTGCAGTTAATATTAATGAATTTACATTTATTAATATTAAATGTAAATTTTGCTCTTCTCTTCGCCCTCTACCTAGAACCCTTTAATATATAAAAGCTTTTGAATAATCTTGACATACCAATTTAGTTTTATTGATAGGGATATTTATATTTGAGAGGAGCAAAGATGTGTAATTTATAAGACTTTTGTTGAAAGTGAATGTTGCAACATTTTATCGAGAGTCAATATTTTGAGTTTGCGAAGCGTTATAAAAGTAATTAAAAAATTGTAATTATCTCAGCTTCGTTCGGATAATTATCCTCTTTTCCTGGAGATTGTGAGTGGCCTATGAAAATTCAACTTTAATGATTAATTCTGAAAAATCATCAAAAATTCAATTTGAAATTTATTATTATTTTAGATATTATTGCATTGTCTAAGTAATTTTCAACAGTAATTATTTCAAAAATTTCTGAGTGACAAGGAATATTTTGTTGTATCAATTTGGGAATTATTCAATCAAAGCATTTAATTACAAGAATAAATTATGTTTAAAAAGTAAAACTTTTTTATATACAATGGATCTTCAACAGTGCCTCAGTAGCTTTGCTTTTACAGTAGGAGTGTATTCAAATTAAATTAGAATGTTCTTAATTGTAATATTATGTATCGTCTTTATTCTCTTCCTTAAATTATATAAAATATGTATCCAAATAATGATTCAAAAATTTTTAAAAATTAACAAATTTAGTCAGCGTCCGCCCTCTTCCAACAAAAACCTCAAATGGCTTGAGATTCTAAGAAAAATCTACTAAAAGCACCGAAAATACTTAAATTTTAAAACGTCTAGTATTTGATGGGCCATTCCTCTGATTTTACTACAAAATGGGAGTGTTTTGATATTGGGTGAAATAAGTTTTTTCATAACTTCTGCATTAAAATTGTTCCATTCTTGTTTCATCTCTTTTATATATCGACTTTTGATAAAATAAAAACTTGTTTCATAAACTGTACCTTATTTGCTGCAAATATATTCAAATTTATTTAAATCAGGAAGCTGAGGTGATATTTGGTCACTTTTGAGTGACTGCCCAACAATCAAAAGGAAATATTTAAAGCAGCCTGCTTACGATTTTTGTCTTGATAAAATGTCCCCGATACCTAAAATCTGCTTTAATGTCAATAAGTTCATTTCTAAACCATTCAAACATTTTGTATGATCTATTAGAACATCACTATAAAAACTAAATTACCTTGTCCTGCTGCAAGTAAGTTATTCCCTAATAGGACACTTTCGTCTTCTAGGTACTAAGATCCTTGAATTTAGTTATATATTTTTTAAAAATTCTATTTATTATTGAGATGGCAAACAAAAACCTGAGTTACTTATTTTTCTTGCATACGAATTATTTGCTCTAGCTGTACTACAATGGTATTCTGCAAATCTAATGGTTCACCCGCCAGTTTCAAGGGAAACTCGTGCATCAAATGTTTTATTAATACGCAGAAAGTGTTTCAGCATTTGCGCATGGATTTCTTGAAACTCTTCTGAGTACAAAATGCGGTCTCAAAGAGCAAGCTTTGGCGATGACAGCTTCTTCCCTTATTTATAATTCGGTTTCCTTTTCTAAATCTCTTCATAACACCGCAAGCAGTAAAATAGAGCAAATTCAAATTTTCAGCATTTTTCTAGCGATATTGTTTCTATTTTTAAATGAAAATAACTAGTTTCTTAACTTTATTTAATTTTCCTTTATGAAACGTCCTAAAATATCACAGAACATACTAAACTGGAATTTATTTGCATTCTAAATTTTCAGAAGTCAAATGGTATTTCAATATTGTTGCCATAATTAAAAAAAAGGCATGAGGGAGACTTTTGTAGGATCCTAATTTTTCTGGAGATAGATGATGTCCTAAAGCTATTTTGGATTTTCTTTTTTTCCTGGGGAAAAGGGTTAACTAAATTATTTTTATTTTTAAAAAATTGTTAAGTAGTTATTCGTATGAATTTCGTATAGAGTTTTGCAAGAAATTGAATAAAGGTATTATTTAAAAGAATTACAATTAAAAGAATTCTAACTTAACATATCTATACTAATATTTTCACAAGAGTCGAAGGAAGCACCAAACCTTTCGACAATCACTGTCAAAGATATTGTAAAGAAATGGTATCGAATTGTACAAAATATTCATGATGGTTATGTAATTTGGGCAAACATTTATAATATTTGTACGAGTTGTTCAAAAGTATTCCTCATTGTAGTCAGGTTTCATATAATTCTAACCTAATCTCTGGATTCCGCTTTCAAAGAAGTCTTTACATTGCATGCAGAATCAGTACTTAATATTTACAATGAGCTGTTCGTCCATCTCAAAATGTCAGGTGATATGAAAAAATACCACTGGTCTTTATCAGCAAACGTCTCTGATTTTTCAGAGGACAAATGGAAAGAGGTCCCAAGGCAATATTCATTAATAGTATCTTAAATCAGGGCTATACAGCTGTGCCACGCACTAAATGTGGAGAAATAATGTGATAAGAAATTTAATTTCTCTTATCACGTCACTAGATGGACCACCAGGTTGGATCACGTGATCTTAGTTCTCCTTCTTGGATGACAGCTTTTACTTATTTTCAGCAGATTTGTCTGACTTATCAGTTCCATGTGGGTTTTGGAGGCCATCATGAAATGCCAAACTAATTATCTTCAACCATCTTGTTTTTCTATAGCCATCACCATATGAATTCAGATTTTAATATATTATATATAATAAGTATATCTATATATTATATATATATAATTTATAACATTTTAGTCCTTATTTGACAATGATTCCTTCTGCCGTTTATGGGAAAGAGAGGATTATAAAACTGCATAAACTAAACTTTAAGAATTGCTAATGTAACTACTGAGATATTATAATTATTGTTGCCTCTAACGCCTCCAGTGGTGTTTTATACAGGTGCGTGGAGAGAGTGTAGGATAGATATATAAGTAACGTAAATATTATGTTGTATTTACGTTGAATTAAATCTTTTTACTTAGTTTTATAAAATGCGTTTTTATTTTTAGGAAATAATCATTTTCTTGCAAATGAAATAAATGTGTGGCGCATTTAAATTTATTTCTGATCTGTAACTAATTGAATAAAGCTGTGTTTTAGATCTATTTTCTTCTCAGGTTCTAAATTTATTATATCTGGACCATCCAGTGTGTACAAGATTTAATCAGATAATATTATTCATAGATAATATTTACATGGTATGCTATACTGTAATGATTCCTAGATAAGTTGTTTAAAGGAACTCCCTGCAAATTAACATTTTAGGGGAAAAAATGAACTTATAGAATGGCACTTGTTTTACTCCACATCCCTGGCCTGTTATTGCTAACTGCCAGCATAAAACATATTAAACCTTCATGAATTCTTACATGATATTTATTTTCAGTAGATAGGAACTGTACTAATTAAAATAGTATTTTTTTATATATTTTAGCTCTCCGTTTACAAATACCAATGCTATTTTCGCATTTTTCAATCTATGACAGTACAATATAGTCTAAAATCATAAACAATGATGAGTGCAATACTAAATTAGTTTCTGCATTATTGAACACAACTATAATATTCAGAACCTTTTTATTTGAGTGACCCATATAAATTGTTTTCATTATTGACAGTAAGCAAACTGATTAACTATGAAATCGCAATTACCTGTTGAAATGGCAAACATTGCAAGCAAAATAACTAGGTTGATGTAACTGATGCCAGATCCAGAATATAAGGAACATGACTGTAAAACTGCCTCCTTTTCCAGTGTTTCTGATTCAGGGAAAGGATTGTACTTTCGGATGAAGTCATGCAGATTCTGCAGTAAATTCCTCAAAGTAACCAGCAAAGCTAAGAAAGATGCAAAGAAATTACGCATTTTCAATAAATAAAAATTTTAATTCATATTTTTTATTCAAAATTTTTAACAGAATACATTTAAAAGTTACTGTTTATGAAAGCAGAAACGTATTCCTTCAAAGCCATATTTTCGTTTTCAACATCGGAAACACGATCTGAAAATGAAATTTCGAAATACATTTCAATTTAATTGTCTTGCTTCGTCTTATATAGAGTACAAGAATTAAAAAAGAGTAAGGAGCTTGATATTATTTTGATATCGCTGGCAAAGTAAATGAAAAATTGATTTTTGAATTTTCTTTTTCAAACATTAAAATTCTTCCATTTCGAAGAGATATTTTAGAGGATAACGTTAATGATATAAAATTTAAAATTAAAAAACATTATTAAACAAAAAATTAATTAATAATTAATAAATTAATGATTAATTTATTAAACAAAAAAAATTACTATTATTATTTAACGTCTTGCAGCTGTGCCTCCCCCTTAAGATGAAGATGCATTCATTTACGTTCCGGCATTTTAATGAAAGTTTCTAAGCATGTGTTAAGACAGAAATTTTACAAGGGAGCCTAAGCACCAATGTAAAATAAAAGTCATTCCGAGAATTTTCTCGCATTACACCGCCGAAAATTTATCAGTAAATGCATAAAGAATGAAATTTAGAACCAATATTTCACAAAGACCAACAAAATGAAATTAATAAAATTCAAATAAACAAATTTCAAAAAATCCTATAAATATAGAATTAGAATTCTGGAAAAGTTAAAATAAATCTAGATAAGGAAAATCAAAAATAAATGAAGTAAAAAAGAATACGAAAGAAGAGGAATTTAGTTAACTCCGACATAGCATAGTCAGGAGGAGGATACATCGAAATTAATTAGACCTACATTTCCATAAAATAATTCTTGCTTTTCTGTATCCAGAATCATCTGATGAACCATCCCAATATATTTTTTAATCTTAACAGTTCACCCGAAATTTCTGGTCCTCCCCAAAGAAAGAAAAATGACAAAAATACAAAGTAAATTCATTAATGAAATTTTTCCCAATTTAAAACGAACTTCCCCAAAATTGAAAACTTACTCATAATGCGTGGTAAAAATTAAAACTTTCATTGAGTAAAGTCTTTAAAATTGAGAATAATCAACAATGTAGCAAAACATTTTATACAAAATTTTGCGAGAACCTTCTTTCAAACATCAGTTCGAAACAATGAAAATAACTGCTAGGATCTGAGACGCTTAGGTTTGCCAGTTTGGCCTCTTTGGAGAAACTACAAAACCGTAGTCGAGAAAGCCCTCTAAAAAAAGTGAATTTAATGCTACCAAAGCAAAGAATTTTGAATTTCAAAGAAAAACTTTTAATTCAAGAAAAATGCTAACACTTTTAAATGTAAACTAAATAGGGGACAAAGAAAAATTCCCAGTTGTAAAAAAATTAGTCACTTCTAAATTAAAACCCAAATTTAAATTAAAAAATTGTAGTTAAAAATGTTGAAAAAAATTGCAATTAAAAAGAAGAGATAGAATAAAAAAACAGAAAAAAAGCAAGAACATTATAATTAACATATAAATTTCAAGTATTTAATATACTTTAAAAATTGCTAGATACTCAAATGGTAGTCAGTTTTTTGCAATTTAAAAACTAATGTAAAAAGTGCCTAAAGATTTCCAATGGTGAATTGAATGCTATTTAGAAAATATTTATATAAAATTTACGTAAAATTTTCATAAAATTATAAATTTAGTCTTATGAAAAATGCAAAGGAATGTCAGAAAAGGAAGTAAAGTACAAATGTTAGAAAAGTCTTCAGTTCATGGGTTTATCATGGCGACTTGAAAATAGGAGGCTTCGTAGTTAATGACAGTAACGCAAGAGAAGAACGAAACTAAAAAAGAAACATAAAGCAAAAGTAAACCCATATAACTTTCTAAAACATCCTTCTTTATTGGAGCTTTCGGATAAATAATTCATACTTTTAAAAAGCTTTATAGGCTGTAGACTACTCCATATTTTTTAAACCTGTTAATGAACTTAATTAGAATTTCACTTTTTTTAATTTTGTGAGAATTAAGATTTCTTATTGTTGTTTTTCTATTTCAGCACAAAATTTTTTAATTCTGCAAATTTGGTTAATAATTGTATTTACTATAACATTTTTAGATACCTTGGAGTTCCAATTTATACGTTTAATAGTATAAAAGTTCTGTTCTTTTATAAAAAGGCTAATTTATTTAAGATTATGTATACTAAGATCCAGATATATTCGATTTAATGTGTGATTTTTTCTTGGTCTTATTAAATTTTAGCCATCAGTTTTAGTTCAGACAGGTCTATGAGATTATATTGTGAAGTATAATGTCTCATATATCTGAAAGTGGTTCAGATTTATGAATCATTATCAAAAAAGCTTTAAGAAACTTAAATTCTTTAGAAAATAAAATAGTGGCAAAGATAATTCAATAGAAATTCCCATTGAATACAATTTTTTGCCAGAAAGAAATTTTGAGGTTTGATATAGTAATAGTGAGCAAGAAATGGAAATTCTTTCATTTTGCAAATCAGATAGTAATATTTAGGAAAAAATGTGGTAAGCTCAAGACTTTCTGTAAAATTTCTTTGAGTGGTAGAAACGTGTAGAAATTTTCAAAATCATAACAATTATATTGTAGATTTGAAGATTTTTAACTTTTTCAATAATTTGCAAGACGTCGCAAATAACCCAGCAGTAGTTTTTATCAGTTTTATCTTTATCAAATACCATATTACAAATAGATTTAAGTGAACTGGTAAAAATATTATCAAAATTCTTTTTGAAAATATGAATCTTTAAAAATACAAATAATTTCAGCGAAAATAATATTTAGATAAGTATGTATGTATTTAAACTTTACTTATTAAAACCAATTTACACTTACTCCTTCATAATACAACATAAAAAATTTATTTATGTTACACAAAACTGTAAAAATATGTTTTTTATTTCTATTTTTTAAACATTTTCAGATATTCCACTTTTTTGTCAAAATTTGTAAGTTTTGCCTTTTAATGTGGTACATTTTTAGCTCATTTGTAATTTAATCGTTTATTAGTTCTGAACGTCTCTTTTAATCATATTTCGATAAAAATTATACAACTAGAAAGTACTCATATACATATATTAAGTAGTAATAATTAAGAAAGAATTAGTTTACGAACCTGATGAGGATATGGATTTCTACCTTAATTTTTATAGTTGAAAGCGAAATGAATTTAGTGTATTACAAACTTAAAATATTTGATTGAAGAGAACATAATTTGTGTTTACATCTAAAACTGTTGCCACCCATTTCAGCTGCTGTGAAATATTTTCATCAACAATTATTGATACGGTCGAAAGAACTTAGTTATAATATGAAGCCATTCATCAATAAGGATGGGATTTTTGAGTACTTCAAATTTATATTAATTACTATTATTTAATTATTAGAAGTAATTAAATGAGAAAATTCCATGGAGGACTCATTTGAAGTCCGAAATAACCAAATTTTCACCAATTGCTACCAATCTTTCTAAAATCAAATCTTATTCTAAATCAATGAAACGTTGCGAATATTTTGTCCATCTTATCAAGTTTGCACCACATATGCAATTTTTAACCAGTTATTTACCACTAATAGGATATAAGGGGAAAATTGAATTTTGTATTAATTTTAGACCTTTTACTTCTATCGCGGAGATAAAATAATGTCTTAGCTTTGCAACAGTTGCCTGCCATCTAAGAGCATCTAAAATATTACGTCAACATTACCAAAACCAGAAGACACAACAAAAATTTTCCTTGCTTAGTAGTTTTTTTTTTTTTTTTTTTTTGTTTAGCTAAAAGGACGTTAGCCCAGAATGGCTATTAATTTCGTTTTGGCGTTTTGCATTTGTTCACTATAAAATCTGGATCATTTTTTTCAAATTGTTGACACTAAATAGAGCCTGCACTATATTTAAAAAATTTAAATAATAAAGAATCTGCATAAATGTATGTATGTTTCTCCCATTGTGAAAAAACAATGGAACCTAGAGACTTGGAAACAAAACAATGGAACCTAGAGACTTGGAAACAAAACAATGGAACCTAGAGAAATTCTGAATAACATAGTCCTCTACTCGAATATGGGCCTCTGGAAGCCTAAAATTGGAACTTGGAATTTGTTATATTATCTATTTCTTGTTTTGTAAAACTTTAATGAATTTTTGATTAACAAACTTGAAGATTTCAAAGTGTTCCATTAACATTAACATCGCGTGCATCTTCAAGCACGGATGTTTTCGTGCATTGGTAAAACGAGAAGACTTTATTTAAATATAGATTTTAGATGTTGCTTAATTTTCATTTCGAAATTGGTTGCTAATTTTTTCTTCCACACATGTTAATCTTTTCGGCATATCCGGAGCTTAAATATAGCAGCATACAAATACATAGTTTTATAGAGATTTTAAGTTTGTATTTTCTTCAAACACCAGAAAATTTAAAAGTCTCTCATTCTGAAACATTAAATTAACTAAATTTTCATTTCTTTTCCATTATTAAACGAAAGAGAATTCGATATTTTATTCTGTAAATTTTTATTATACTTTCAATAGATTGTAGTTTGTTGTAAAATTATACTGATTCTGATAGCGTCATCAGCTCTAGTACGTTTCTAGCAAATTACTCACTTCTTTAATCCGCAAAATTCGGAATTCCTTTCAACGGTAAATCGATCCTATTTTCCAAAGATTTGCTTGTTACTTACCGCTTGGTAGTGCTGTCATCTTTTAAGAAGTTTGAAAATAATTCAACCAACGAAAAAAATTTTTTATTGTCAAAACGACGCAATTTATATCTCGTTTAATGTTAGAAAAATTTAAAAAAAGAGTGCCATACGCTTGAGGTATTCCTCTTCTTTAGAAACAAAAGAAATTTCCGGGGGGGTTGAAGCAAAAAATCAAATAAACAAGGAAATAATGGATCACACAGAAGCAGATGAAATAAATTAAGCACCATTCTACCAAGAAAGACATCAACAGGTGTTAAAATTTTTGCATCTGATCTGGCGGGGAAGCTGGGTTGGAATAAATATCCTTCAGTTATCATTTTATTTAATTTTTATGTGAAAATTTCCCATCCAGATTCTTATCTAAAATTAGGGATGGAATGAGTGGCGAGCTAGCTTATCGCAAATCCGTACTAGAGTATACATATAACAGAGGAGGAATGAATCTGCCTATGGAATCTGCCTATCTATTAATGCCTTATCTACATTTCTTGTTAGGAACTAATAAAACTGCATTCTTATGAGAACAGATAACCTCTTTGCTCTCAAAATAGTATAAGATCTTGTAAAAACAATTCAAAAATTATTTAAACTAGGAAATATTAGCAAATCTACATCCTTTACTGCGATTTTTCGAAATTTTAAATAAATTAACAGCATTTCTTGTGGACACCCTTTAATTGAATATATTAAGTAAATTTTAGGTAACTGTATGAAGCTAAAAATATTTAGAACATAATCGACGCATTGAGCTGCTTATCATTTTTGATAATGTATTTAATTTTATGCTAACAGTAATTAAAAAAAATAAAATGAAATAAAATAAAAAACTTGCAACTTACAGAAAATTTTAAAACATAAACAATACTATGCAATTTTAATTATGGTCTTTAGTAAAATAATAGTCATTTGTAGGGAATTTAAGGTTAATTAACCAGTTATTTATAACTTCAGACTTTACTATAACTTCTTTTTTACGTATTCCTCACCAGAATACAAATGAGTAGCCAGTATTTAAACTGAGGCTTTTGGATTTTAAGACGGTGTGTTTCTATCATCGCGTGGCCATTACGTTTTAAATTCCTACCAACTCTTATAGTTGTAATTATTCGGCTTTGCGTTTCCCCGCTGCCTATATTTTTATTCTGAAGCTCCAGTACAGTAGTGAGTTAGTTTCTATAATAGTAAGTAATGTGTAGTCTTTGACTGTTTGACTAGTATAGTAGTTATTGTGTAGTCTTTCATTGTTTGACTAGTATTAATGTGTAGGCTTTTGCCTTTGACTGGCAACATATAATTTAAAATTGATTATTCTATTAGTTGCATCACCAACAGCTATGATTATATTGTAGCACAATAGCCTTAATGTTCTAGATTTTGTTTAAATGAAAAGGTTACTTTGTTCTTTGTTTCAGACATAGTGATAATTCGCTTCCCATCTGTTAGGGTTACTGGAAAATTTAGTATTACTAAGACAAGTGTAACCCTACACTTCTTAAGCAATTCTACCTACATACGACCGAAAGTCTGACTCGATGAATCACTTTTGAAATCAGCTCTTATTAATAAATTATAATCAGCTCTTAATAATAGATAAAATATGTATCCTTCTATTTTCTTTCTATCGTTCTATTCTAGTTTCTCATTTATATGCTTATGCCTACTGTAAATGCTTACTTTTATCACTTCTACGATTGAGAACACATGTGTTTAAAAAGAGGATTATCACCAGTTCGTAAATTCCATGAATACAATATGATAATTTTCTACATTTTTATCACATTTTTAACATAAATAGTTATTTTATAATATATATATATAAATATAATATATGTATTGTGTGTGTGTATATATATATAATTACATATAACACAACCCATATATATATATATATTACATATATTACATATACACACATAATATATTTACAATTTATATTTTTTTAAGAGTTATACATCTTCTTAAACGATTGGTTATAAAATAATTTACGTCTAGGATATGATTTAATTATAATTTTAAATTGTTGATAAATAACATGAAACATAACACCATAATGCATTATGAAAATTTGCTATCATTCATTTGTTTTGGCTCATTTTAACATATTTATCAAATATAACTGCATATTTATATTTGATGTTCGAGGTGAATATGAAACTTGAGATCAGTTTAAAATATTTCTGTACCTGATTAAAAATTTAATATTTGCTTTTCAAAGTAAATAAGAAATTTAACACAAATTAAATAATAATTCTGTTCCTTATTAAAAATGTCACAAAAAGATCATAGATGGCAGCACCAACACTAGAATTTAGAAAGATATGATTGTGAAATTTTTGGAGAAGAAACAAATTCAAAGTACGAAATTCTGTCTCATAAAAATTATAAATAACCAGTATATAGATATAGCTTCAATTAATGTACATATTGTTTATCTGCGGCTCATTTTACAATTTCTCTAACATAAAACTACTTTTAACTGCACTGGAAAAGCCCTGGAATGAAGAAAATGTTCCTTTTCAATATCTTATTGTTTGATAATTAAATACTGAACATGAAACGTGAATAATCTTACTTCTTTCTGTGAGACCTTCTTAATTAACTTTCTTGTTAACTATTTTATATTTACATAATTTTTGGTAAGTAACTATATTTTCCATTATTTATTGGCAGCACTCATATTAGCTGAAATATCAATTGTTTCATTTCATTTTACTTTTGTTTTTATTGAAGAATTGAATGAGGGCAGCACAAAAGTCATCCTGTCGCTGTTATCATATAAATTCTTTTTGCTTGATCTGGTTTGCTGAATTATGGCAAAGCACCTGAGGGCTATCTGCCTAAGGAGAAGGATGACTTGGTGGAGCATTTTCTAAGGAAAACTGGCTCTTACACCTGCGAAAAACCACGAAAACAGCCATGCAGCTAGCCCGTTCGCCGGATTCGAACGCGGTACTGAACTACCAGTGACATTCTTTCTGCAGTAAAATTCCTTTTTTCTTCATACCTATGCAACGAAGCCTATAGAATCATTTTCAAAAAACAGTGAAAAAATTAACTAAAGAGATTTATGGAATATCGCCTCAAGATAAGGTATAAACTGGACGGATTAAACATAATAAATGCTGAAAAATTTCTGTACATATCCAATTAAGCATGACAGTTAAATGTATTTTTATTTAAACCAGTTAGATTAAAAGGGAAAAAAAAAATATATGGTTAAAGACTGTATTTAGCACTTTTAAATCGCTTAGTCTGTTAATCAGTAACAGACAGATTGAATTTCAAAGATAAATACCTTATATATGCATGCTTTGCCGAGTTTGAAAATTATGGAAATACGTAGAAGTTAAAATTAGTTAGTTTATTTCGAGTAGAGGCAACATACTGCTTTTAAATACCAGAGTTTGTTAATTAAATTTGAATGATAAATATTTTACACGTGAGGCAAAGCACTGGAGAGCGGAAGGTAAAAATATTTTTAATCAAGCAGTGCGAACAC